ATAAATGCCCGATCTTTTATTGGGTTTATTTCTCTGAACATCTGAATACCACAAAATATCTCCTTTGTACAGTTTTCCAGGTAGTTAAAACTATCACTCATTTTGCCAGTTATATTTCCTCCTCCTGAAAATACCTCTTTTTGAGTTCTACATATTCTGTTCCAGCCTGGTCTGATTGGACTCTCCTCCAGATTTGCTGACTAGTGTCCTGTGGACTTGAGTTTGCTGCTCTCCATCTTGTAGCTTCTCTTTGCTAGATCCCACAGCTGCTTTTTGGTTTATATCCACTAGTAGTGTCCCAAACAGCGTTTTGGGATAAAACGTATATATTTTAAAGTATGTATTTATTTAGATTTTGCATGTCTGGGAATGGCTTTAGGTTAACCTCTCACTTGACTGATAGTTTGGCTGGGTATAGATTTCTAGGCTGCAAATCATTTATACTGGACATTTCTAGGTTGTATTGCTCCAGAGACTTCTAAATTAAAAATGATTGTTTAGGGGCACATGGTGGCTCAGTTGGTTAAGCATCTGCCTTCAGCTCAGGTTATGATCCCAGAGTTCTGGGATTAAGCCCCGAGTCAGGCTCCCTGCTCAGATGGGGAGACTGCTTCTCCCTCTGCTCTTCTCCTGCTCATGTTCTCTCACTCTCTCTCTCAAGTCAATAAATAAAATCTTAAAAAAAAAATTACTGTTTAGTAGTTTAATGCCATGCCAATTCCTCTTCCTTTATGATCTTTCTCCCCTAGTGGAAGCTTTTAGGAACTTCCCTTTATCTAATACAGTGATATGCCTTGGTGGGGGTGATTTTGGTTTTTTGTTTCTTGTCTTCATTTCTTGTGCTGAATACTCAGTGGGCTTTTTCCTTCTGGAGTTTTGGAATCCATCTGGAGTCTTGGTATCTTGGAATGTTTCTTGTATTATATTTCTTTACTCTTATTAAATTGAGATATACTTCACATCCCATATAATTCACCCATTTAAAGTGTACAATTCGATGGGTTTTAGTATATCCACCAATCAACCATCACCACTATCAATTTTAGAGCATGTTCATCACCAAGGGAAACCCTATACCCATTAGCAGTCACTCCCCATTCCTCCTACCCTGGGCATCCCTGGGCAACTGCTAATCTATTTTGTTTCTATAGATTTGCCAATTCTGGAGATTTCATATAAATGGAATCATACAAAAGTTTTTTGTGAGTGATTTCTGTCACTTAGCATGCTTTCAAGTTTCATCCACATTGTAATATGTACTATACTTAATGCCAAATAATATTCCATCAATTGGATATACCATATTTTATCTTTCTATTTATCAACTGATAGACATTTGGGTAGCTGCCACAAACATTCATGTACAAATTATTGTGTAGACATGTCTTCAATTTTAGGTTTAGACTTTGGAGTTGAATTCCTGGGTCACATGATAACTGCATTATATTTGATAATTTTGACTCCTTGGTTCTTTTCTGCACTTTCTGGAAAGGATATCAATTAGATATTGGACCCTCTGAATTTATTTCTTTATTCTTATCTTTTCTAAATTGCCATCTCTTAATCTTGTTTTACTTTTGGGAAAATTTCATATTATCTTCCAGCCTTCCTACTGAATTTCTTTCAACTTTTACACCTACAATTTTCAAGAACTCTTTCTTGTTTCTTTTTTTTTTTTTAATGAATGGAATATCATCTGTTATCTCTGGGAGGATAGTAATTATTCTGAAACTTTGTTTTGTATTTCTCTCTAGGTTTTTTGAGGTCCTGTTTTCTCTTTGGTTTTTGTGTGCTTGTTTTCATTCATTTGGTTAACCAATATGCACTGAGAAACTATATGCCAGGCACTTTTCTAGGTGTTTGGGATACATCAGAACAGATTCTTTCCTTTGTGGGACTCATAGTCTTTGGTCTCTGCATTTAAAGACTTCCCTCAAGGGGCACCTGGGTGGCTCAGTCAGTCGAGCATCTGACTCTTGGTTTCAGCTCAGGTCATGATCAGGGTCATGATCTCCAGGTTGTGAGATTGAGCCCCATGTTGGGCTCTGCACTTAGTGGGGAGTCTGCTTGAGATTCTCTCCCTCTCCTTCTGGCCCTACCCCCACTTGTGCATGCTCTTTCTCTAAAATAAATAAACCTTTAATAAATAAATGCCTCCCTCAAATGTCTGGTGAATCTTGATTTGTGTATTTATTATTATTTTAGATAAAACTTACATAAAGTGCATAAATATGTAGCTAAACAGTTCTCTCTCTATATATAGCCATGTGAACAAGATATAGATCAAGATATAGAACATTTCCTTCACCCAAAAAAGTTCCCAGTGCCCATTCCATTCCCAATTAATATCTCCCCTCTCCCCATGGGTAATCACCATTGATTAGTTCTGCCTATTCTTGATTTCATACACAGTAGGCCCTCTTTTGTGTCTGGCTTCTTTTATTCAACGTAACATCTTTGAGATTCATCCATGTTGTGTTTATCAGGAATTCATTTTTTTTAAATTCTTCTGTTGTGTTTCATTATGTTATGCCACAATTTCTTTTTTTCATTCTACTACTGATGGATATGTGGGTAGCTTCCAGCTTTTTATTATGTCCACTTAATTTTTAGAATGAAATACAAAAATGTTTCTGGAAGCTCTATGTAACTGGGACTCAGACACTGAACAGCTCTGCAGTATGGGGTGATTGGACCGGCTTGGGATCTTCAACTATCACACTATTCTAGCTTTTTTCTCCAGGTTGTTCAGTTTCTCTAAGGGATCATCTAAGATGTCTGAGCCAAACAGCCAGTATCCTGGAACTTCAAGTCTTACCATTCCAATGGAGAATTTCATTCTGACCATTTGTTTGTTCTGAGTTTCACCTTTACTCGCCAGGGACCCTTTATTTCAATCTTTTCCAGAAAACAAGCTCCTCTGGCAAAGGCAATTACTGACAGTGAGTGGAGGGGTGGTGGACACAATCTCATTTTCAGGCTCCTCCATCTCATCTCAGCCTTCTACAGTGTCCTCCATTCTTCAGTTCTCCAGAGAATCTGGGGGCAAATTGGCAAATTTCTCTTACCAATGTCTCTCTCTGCAGACACTTAGATTTGATCTTCTTCTGATCTGCTAATTCATTACTGTTTCCTCCATACACATTCCTTCTTCATAAGCTATGGTCTGGGCGACATACCTCCTGGTTTCATCATCAGATGAGTGTGTGTTTCTCTCATTCTTGCTATTTTGGGGTAAATGCTACACAAGGAGAAAAATGGATTCAACAAATTTCCCCTTCCTTTCCCCTCCTTTGTTGAAGTTAATGGCTCCTCATTGCCAATTCTAAAAAGTACAAAGTTCTTAAGAGCTGACCGTGACTCTCTTCAAGTTCACCTATAGCAAGTCTTTTTAGACAAGACCTATTCATATAGCCTTACCTGATGGTCCTCAGTACCCCATGCTCTCTCCCAACCACCTGCCTTGGGAAATTCTCTTCACACTGCCAGGAATCTTCCTGATTATTTGCCTAAAATACTCAAAACCGCTGAAATGTCACCTCCTCCACAAAGACTTTCACGACTTCTTCCCAAAGTTTGCCACAGATACATCTATAGAGCATTAGCTGCTTTGCATGGTCATTGTTTACATGCTCCTTCTTCTCATTAGAATATGGGCTTCTTGAAGACAATGTTTAATCCTATGACTGTTTTCATTTCTTTCATCAAACCAAGTAGTAATAGTGCTTATAGAATGCTCACTATGTAAATTATGTGCCAAGTACTAACCTAAGGACTTTATATTATGAACACATTTACTTCATATAATAACCTTATGATATAGGTATTATCATAACCCCCATGTTACATTAGAGGAGACAGCAGCACAGAGGGGTTAAGTAACTCTAATAGTCCAATACTATTTAATAATATTAACTAATAATAACTAATAGATGATCTGGCTCTGAGACTATGCTCTGAACCTCTCTGACTTTTGAACTGAGTAGGTGCCTAACATGTATTTGTTGAATGGATGACTGTGAAGGGAGAGAAGGAAAAACCATGGCCTTCAACAGAAGTCAAACAAATTCAGTCTTAGAGACAGCTATATTTTGAAGCAAACAAAAGGTTTGACTTTATTGACTTTGTTCTTTATGCAGCCCAAGCCATAATGACCCAGAGAAGAAGGTCTAGGATAAGATTTCTGTTGTCTACCGTTATGGACTGAATGTTTGTGTCCCCTCAAGATCCCTGGTTGAAGCCCTAACCCCCAGTGTGGGCTCTATTTGGAGATGGGGGGCCTCTGAGGGAATAATTAAGGGTAAATGTGGTCATATGGGTGGGACCATGATCCAACAGAATTAATGTCCTTATAAGAAGTACCCCCACCCCCACGCATATACAAAGGAAGAGAGACCTCACCAGAAACCGAATTTGTTAGCCTCTTGGTCATGGACTTTAAGCCTCCAGAAATATAAGAAATTAAATTTGTTTTTGAAGCCATCCAGCCTAATATTTTGTTATAACAACTCAATCAGACTAATAGTTTCCAATGGCTGAAGTTTAGAAAACAGATTTTCCTTCACTTCTTTCAGAAAGCAGCTGCTTGGGGTGCCTGGGTGGCTCAGTCGTTAAGCGTGTGCCTTCGGCTCGGGTCATGATCTCGGGGTCCTGGGATCGAGCCCATCGGGCTCTCTGCTCGGCGGGAAGCCTGCTTCTCCCTCTCCCACTCCCCCTGCTTGTGTTCCCTCTCTCGCTGTCTCTCTCTGTCAAATAAATAAATAAAATCTTTTAAAAAAAAACAATAATTGTTTTGTTTACAGGCTACTGAAATGAAACAACTCATACAGAATTTTTATACTATAAAAAACAGAGCACTGTATTAGAATAACAATATTCTATAGCTTCAAAACAATTTTAAAGGGAAATTTATTATGTTCTGAAAGGCAGGATGCTTACCTACCATTCAACTAAAGCTAAGTTCAAGATGTCTACAACTAAAAAAATACACAGTATCAAGATTTCAGTCTTTGTACAGTATTTTAATTAAAAACACACTGTTATTACAAATATACAGATCTAAAATTGTAGATTAAAATACAGAGTGCAATAAAGTGGCTTTGTAAATTTTCTTCGCTGAGACACACTTTCTGTCATATTTAGATATTTGATTGGTAAGACATAATAAATAAGAAGTACAGATTTCCCAACGTCATGATTAGTAAATTCCTCTGCAAATGAATGAAGTTATACAGTCATCAAAGGAGAAAAGGATAAAAGTTGGATGGCCCTGCCTACATTGTATTAATGTGAGGAAGAGACACAGTAAGAGCTATAAGAAACTACAGTGAAATGTTAGAGCTATAGGCGATATAGCTTCCTCAGCCTTCTACCAATAACATCCGTGATAAATAAACATCCTTAAACGTAGAATAGTTCAGTATGATTGCATCTATATTTGTTCCACAATGACAATTTGTTAATTTTTAATCCAATACATATTTTTGAACTGCAATCATGTACAAAGATATAATGAGAAATCTTGAAAAGAAACCCTTAGTCCCAAATCAAATGTTTAAGTTGAAAAGCCTGTAGAAAATAAGTGTGGACAAGAAACATTGGCTACATGCCAATTTTTATTTCTAAGAAAAATTCTTACATAATTAAGTCGTCTGTCTTACAAAATAAAAACAAAAAAATCCTAAAAATAATACCACAAATCCAAATTAGCTGAACTTAGAGTAAACAAAGTCAAAGCCAGTCTTCTTATCTGCATATCAATGTGATAAATCAAACTACACTGAGGGGGAAAAAAAAAACTTCATCTGCTCCTAGCTCCTAAACAGAACTGATGATTACTTTTAGCACTTAAAGAGAGACAACTGTGATACTGCTCTTTTTAAAAGATGTATACTAGAAATCCAATAGAATGTGTTACTCGTGATATTCCACAAAAGCTGTAAGGCAGCCAAGAGCTGATTACATTTAAGGACATTTAAGCTTGCACTCTTAATGCCCACTGATGGGCTTTGTGCCAATATTCAAAAAATATGCTTTTCATCTACTAAAGACAAAATGAGAAGGAAATACAATTATTACATTATATCCCAGCATAGAGCTACTATATTTGTATAAAGGAATCACTAGTTAAAGAGTTATTTGTCTTTTCCTGTCTAGGCATTAGGCTGTAATCTAAATGTTGACAGTGCCAAATTTCAACTCTCAAGACAAACAAGAGCTTATGTGTCAAGATTAATTCTCTTTGGCCGTAGCGGATACCATTTTCTCTGGGAGCAGTCTTTAGTTCGCCTTCTTTTCAAGACCAGGTCAGTGGCTTTCCTGGTTGAAGTCTCTGTTGGTGTGGTTTCTATTTGTGTTATAAAGCTCTCAGGTTTAACATCTGGTTTCCTACAACAACCAGAAAAGACTTCTTGGTGGACTCTCTGGAGCTGGATAATAGGCTGCATCTTTAAGACTTGGGAAAATCCATCTCCTTGTTCAATTAATGCAGGCAAGGACTTAAACAAACAACAGTAATACTTAACATTAATTTCAGGTTGGAACACAAACACACAGAGACAGATACAACACTCTCGATTCTAATTCTTCAGGTCAAGGCTTTTTCTAAGACCTAATTATTTGGGTCATGGATATTGGCTTTACCTTAAAATACCAATATTAGTTGAGGATTTTAACCAAAAACTAAAACTAAAAGATACATTCTATTCCTACAATGCCTGGTAGTAAAATAAAACTTTGGCAGCAGGAAGTAACAGAATTTCAGAGCCAAGGATTTAATGTCTGAAATTCCATATTTTAGGATAGTAAGTATTTTAGAAATCTTGATCATCAAGAACAGGAATCAGTACATTTCTCCTATAAAGGGCCTTACATCTCTGTCACAATTACTCAACTCTGCCACTGTAATGTAAAGAAGCCACGGACAATAAATAAATGAATGGAAATAGCTGTGTTCCAATGAAGTTTTATTTACAAAGACAAGTGGCAAGGCTGGGTTTTTGCCTGCCCACCAGTTTGCCAACTACTGATAAAGAAAATGCTATGAGTACCAGAAAATCATGGAATCAATACAAACCAGAAAATTATCAGAACATGGGAGATTTAGAGGAGTTTTAAAGTAATTTCATACACTAGGAATCCAAATGTTTCCCTATATGCATAAAATAAATGTCAAGAATATAAACAATTTTATTATAATAATATTAAGATATCCAAGTTGGATATGCAGCATAATATAGCAGTTAAGAATATATATAGGCTCTTGGGGCGCCTGGGTGGCTCAGTTG